CTGGCTCTTCCTCATACTCAGTTATCTGCTCAGATATCTCCTGTTCAGACAGCCCCACTCTGAATACCCAGATTTAATCCACCTTTCCATCACCTTCAATCTTGTTGTCTTGCCTTCTGAGCAATTAGTAGTATCTTACAGACCGCACACCTCCCCCAAACACACTCACACGTTATCATAGTATCAGCTCAGTGGCAGCAGAGATTTTTGTTTCCCGCTCTATCCCCAGCCCTAGAGCACTACATTTACTAGATGCTCAGTAAATATCTGTGGAATGAATGGGTTAGTTGGAGGTAAGATGGATGCCAGGGATTCCTTTTAGAAAGTCCCTTTCGAAGTCACCCAGGCAAGAACAGATGAAGCCTAAACTAGGGTGTGGTAACAGAGACAGAGAGGAGATGGGTTGAGAAATATTTAAGGGGTGAAATCAACAAGGATTGGTGATGGAAGAGAGATGGAACATGTGACTGAAGAAAAATAAAAACAAGTCAATGGCTTCTATCTTACATATCCAGTGCATAGTAATGCCACGAAATGACATAGGAATGGAGGAGTAGAAAGTAATTAATATAATTATATATATGATAAGTTTGACGTTCCTCTGGAACATCCACATAGAGAATGAATATATGGATCTGGAGCTTGAGAAAAATGTCCATGCTGAAGGTGTAAATTGGGAAGTGATCAGTTTCGAGCAGTGATCAAATTGCGAAGAAAGAGTAGACATAGAAGAAGAATGTATAAGAAAAATTGTGGGGTACACCAACAAGAATATGATGGGTAAAGAAAGCAGAGCCTACAAAAGAATACTTTAAAAAAAGAGAGGTAAGGAAACCAGGGCCTTTTCCCATGTGTCACAGAAGCTAAGGAAATATAAAAGTTCCAAGGAAGCAGGCGTGATCAATGGTGTTAAATTTAGCAGAGAGGTCAGGAAGATAATGAATGGAAAGCATCCACTGGATTTAACAATTAGGAACACACAGGCTCCAAACATTTAGCGGAACTGTGTAGGTGGAAGTCAAACTGCAGCATAATGAAGATTGAATCGGAGGTGAGGAGATGATTAAAAAATAATCCTTCCAAAAAGCTTGAATGAGCCTAGAAGGAGAAGGAACAACAGGTAACGAGGACACAGGAATGTTTAGTTTAAGGATGTCTTTAATGATAGAAGAGATTAAGCCAGTAAAGAAGGAGAGGTTGAATATGGGAAGAGAGATAAGTGAGGGATGAGATCCAGAGAATAAGGGAGAGGGAACAGAGGATGTGACCTAGGACAAGGCGGCAGCCTCAGCCTTCAGCAGCAAGAAGGGTACTTCATCCTCTGAGTCATGAGGAGAGAAGGGAAGGTGGAATGAGATAAGTAAGTGAGATTAATTAAATATGGTGACCTCAAATTTCTCCATAAACACGCAGTAGGTAAGCAGTTTAGATTTTTGAATGGAAAAGGAAAAACCTGGGTGTCAAGAAATCACACCCTGAAAACCTGTGTAGCAGTAGCAAGAGGACCGGAGGCAGGAGACCTGGGTAGAGGCCACTCCAGACTCAGAAGAGCTAAATAAAAACTAAGTCTTATTGTGTTATGTAGCAGGCAAACTGCAGCACTATGTCAGCCTCCTACTGGGACGTATTTGGTAATATATCATGAAGTTCCCTAAGTGATAAGGGTGCCTGTGCTATACAAATGATGTTGGAAGGTGGGGCCTGTGGGGGATTGAGATTAAATAACGTCATCAGGGTGAGGGTGGAGTCCCAGGATGGGACTGAAGGCTTTATAAGAGGAAGAGAGCTGAGCTGATGCAAACTTGCTCTGTCTTGCCATATTATAATGCAGAAAGAAGGCCCTCCCCCCAGAGGCTAGCAGGTGCTGGCACCATGCTCTTGGACTTCCCAGTCTCAAGAACTCTAAGCTAAAGAAACCTCTATTCTTTATAAATTACCTTGTCTCAGGTATTGTGTAGTAGCAACACAAAATGGACAAAGTGGTTACTTCAGAAAACCAGATGTTCCTTATTGAATATCAGGCCTATTGCCTAGACTCTAAAATGTTGCTTCCATAACTCCAAGGAATGTTGGCTAATGGATTCAGAGTCTAGAACAGGAGTCAGCAAGCTAATGCCAAATTCAGCCCAATGCCTGTTCATGTAAATAAAGATTTATTAAAACACAGTCGTGCCCATTTTTTTTAACATAGTGCCTTCTATAGTGTGGACAGAGTTGAGTTCATTCCCCCAAGGACTCACATGTTGGAAGTTTGGTCCTCAGCATGATAATATGAGAAATAGTGAAACCTTGAAGAAACAGATACTCACAGGAGATCTCTAGTCACTGGAGACGCTGTCCTCAAAAGGGATTAAAGTAGTTCTTGTGGTTAGTTCTTAAGAAAGTGACTGAGAATGAGCCTGACCCTTGGGTCACTCTCTGGCTCTTGTGGAATGTGCTCTCTTGTTCCTACATGTTCTTCCCATGATGCCATCTACCCCCAGGCCCTTAGCAGAGGCCAAATGGCCAGGACTACCCAATCTTGGGCTTTCAGCTTCCAAACTTGTGAGCTAAATAAACCTTTCTTAAGTTGTTTGCCCCTGGTACTTCATTTTAGTAACAAAAGACAGACTAATATAGTGTCCACGGTGACTCTGGCTCTATAGCAGAAGGGTGGAGCCGTTTTGAAAGAGAGGAGATACAAAGTCTCTGATAGCCTAAAATATTTACTAACTGGCCCTTTACAGAAAATGCTAGCTGGCCTTGGCTTAGGCCAAGGCCTAAGTTGATTGAAGTTCTGCAGAGTTAGACAGAGTAAAGGAGGACAGAAGTTAGGGAAAAACTTTTCCCATCTTACATGTTTGACTCAGTCTGGATTTTGATCCAGACTTAGAATTTATGAGATTTTGCTTATAAAATTGCAACGCTCTTTCATTTTCCGAGCTGAGAGTCAAAGTGCATATCAAGTACTACTTTCTCTCATTTATTGCCAGTTCATAGAAAATGTAATTCTTAAAGCTCTACTATAACGTAAAACTTATCTGGATAAGATTGAAAGTCAGACTTGCATAAGATCTAAATACCCTCTATAAATCTTTCAGATCAGTTTTCTTTGGAAGAGAGGGATTGTCTGGGGTCAAAAGTAAAATTAATTTGATTCTTTAAAAATTTAAATTTATTCCATCACTTAAACAGTGTATCTAGATTTGGCAATATGCCTCCATATCTCAGTCCACAGAGATAAAATAAAAATGACTTATACCATTAAGATGCAGCCACCTGCAGAGTTACTACCACAGTAAATAAAAAAAATGTCCACCTTCTGCAGCTGGGTTGTTATGTGAATGGAAGAAATAAAGCCCTGCACTCTTCTAGAAGTCATTTCCTTTCTCTCATCTGGATAATACCAGCCCAGTCACAGGCTTATTCTTGCACTCGCCTGGAGAATATGATATAAAACCCTGAGAAGAAATCTTTCCTTGCCCTAGAGTCATCCTCATCCACAAGCTGATCTCCTAGATTTTACTCCTGCAGGGACTTGATGATTTGTGCTGGAAGAGCCAGAAAGGACGAGGGCTCAGCCACTCAACTGAAATCCCCTTAAGACTGTGCTCGGACAGTCCACTGCGAGGTCGGGCAGTTCTGACTCCAAGAGCAGCATTTTCACACTGGGAAGAAGAAGTTTGCCTGCGCTTTTCACCACTGGGACTAGTTTTACCTCTTAGGTCTGTGATGTTGAACAGATCTATCTCTTTCCTGAAAGACACCCCCCCCCATAAGAACAGAAGGAAGTTCTCCAGGCCTCCCTGAATCGGCTCTTTACTGATTCCAGTATGTACCATTTCTGTGAGCTGCCTTTTGGAGAGAGGAGTCCAGACCCATATGTAAAAGCTCTGGGGAATTCTGATTCCCAGGCAAACTGTGATCTATATCTCCTTCATGCTGGATATTGTGTTCATCTTCATGCAGCTGAAAATCACACTGGCTTTTAGGCAGTTACAATGTTTCATTAATTCTTTTTACACATCATATAGCCCAACTAAATATATCATTACCTTAAGAAGCAAATCTTTTAAAATGCAAATGTCTCTGGAAAAGCTTGAGTATCAACACTAAAGACAGAAACCTTGTGAACTGATTTTTCTGGAGGGCTTCCTTGGTGAGAAGTATGACAACTGGACATCAGAATCACATTCAATGAGGAAAAGGAGGTTGGTTTTGTAAGAACCAGGAGGCCAGGTCTAATGGGGCTCCACATAGTACAGAAAGAAGGGGAAGAGAGGAAGGACACGGTAACAAGATTAGGATGATGTCAAGGACAGAGTTCAACTGTTCTGTCGTTTTCAAGACAGAATTGCCTCAACCAGTAAATCTGCTCTTTTCCCTTTTCCTTCCAGTGACTTCTCTAAGAGCAGAAATCCAGCCAGCCACCAGCCTACCTTCCCAGATGCACTGCCCCCATTGCTGAGTTCAGCAAGTTCAAATTCTGCACCCTCTTCTGGCAAGGCATTAAACATGATCTTTACTTTTCCCCTAATCAGTGTAATCAGAAACAGCAGCATGACTCTTTAGCCAAAGAATTAATCATGGCAAGGGTGACAGTTGTGGGACAAGCCAGAGAGGCCACTGGGATAACAGTTGTTGCATGACCAATTCGCACAGCATTGTGGAGCTAGAAAGACATTAGAGAAACTGGACTGCTGGCTTCACATGTCTTACACTGAGCACAGAAAGGAGAGGTGCAGGAAGGGGTGGTCTTGCTAAGATCTGCTGTAGTGAACAATCAAAAGAGGAAGGGAAGGAAACTGCTGAGTATCCCTTATACAAAATGTTTGTGACCAGAAACATTTCAAATTTCAGTTTTTCACATTTTGGAACATTTGCATAGACTACCAAATTAAGCATCCCTAACCAAAACATCTGAAACACTCTGAAATAAAGCTTTTTCTCTTTTTTCAATATATATGTTTTTATTAGTACACATTAATTTTACAAAATATCAGATTTCATTATGCCATTTTCATACATACATATAACGTACATTGATCATATCCATGCCCCCGTTACACTTCCTTACACCCACCACCTCCCTTTTATTCTTTTCCTCCTGCCTAATAGTCTTCCTTTTTTTTTTAAGACTCCATATATTACCTAAGATGTGATACTTGTCTTTCTGAGTCTGGCTTATGAAATCAAAACTTTTTGAGTGCTGAAACAATGCTCAAAAATGTTGGATTTTTGGAGCATTTCAATTTTCATATTTTCAGATTAAGGATGCTCAGCCTGTATATTGAACACCTCTAGGCACAGGCTGGGTGCCTTCCTTTCATGCAGCTCACACTAACCTCTGGACCATGCAACACCATGCCCATTTTGCAGGGCAGCTCCCAGAGGATAAGCCCTCAGACCTGCCTGAGGTCCCACAGCTGCTGATTGCATGGGCTAGATTTGAGCAACCACAAAGCTTATGTCTTCACCTTCTTACACTGCTCCCCGGAAGCCAGGAAAATTGCATCTGCAGCCATTTTTTGTTCCATTTGATTTTTGGCTTGTCAAAAAAAAAAAAAAAATACTCACAACTGTGTGATCCCATGGCAGTGATAAGTAAAGAGGTGAGTATTAGAAAAAGGCGCCAGTTCTGTGTTAAATCTGGGAGGCAGAATCACAAACAGTTATAGAGCCTGCAAATAACAGTTCACATCTGCAAGTCAAAAATCACTGCGGGGTGAGGAGCAGGAAGTGCCGAGAGTTGCATATCATGTCCATGTTTGGGAGAAGGTTCTTTCTGTGGGAAGAATCAATAACATTACCTAATGTTTCCCAAGCAGTGATGTCAAGTAAACACACACAAAGATTGCAGACTCACAAACAAATGCATCACTGTTGTTTTGTTTCCCAATGTGTATGTCATTTAATGTAGAAATATTGAACAGGTACTACTCTGCCACGTTTGCTTGGGAGGACGAAGCACAGAGATGTTGGTAATGTGGATAGAGAAACACAAAGAGCTAGAGTGTACTACGTTTGGAGAAGCTCCAGGATCAATTCACTGGGAGATGCTTTCACTCCCCCAGGAAAACCTGGCCAGCTGCCTCTTCCACAGTACCTGGAGAAGCTGCAGATTAATTAGTAACTATGAGGTAGGAACCAGTGGATTCCAAACACAGACCCACAAGAGAAAATAAAAGAATTTTAGTAAATTATTAAATCTATAGTAATAATAATTATTTCATAATCCCTAGGGCAAAATTAAACTCCTGTGGTTCTTTCCTACTGAAAACTACTGAAGATCTTAGTATGCTCACACTTTGATAAATTCCTTAGCTCACTTGACAATAGATAAAGAAAAAAACCTGAAAGTCACAGTCGGCCTCAAAAAAAACACAAGCATCTACATGGAGCTATCACAAGGCAAAGTGACCAGGGCTGAGGAACAGCAACACAGGCCACCGAGCTAAGAGTACCCAGGCGCAGCAAACAGCTGAGTCATCCAAAAGGTGTCTAAGTCAGCTCAGGCTTGGTAACAAAACAGCACAGATAGGAGGCTTAAACAACAGACACTTTCTTTCTCAGTTGTGGAGGTTGGAAGTCTCAGATCAATGTCCAGCAAGACTCAGTGTCTCATGAGGGCTCGGTTTCCAGCTTGTACACAGCTGCCCTCCTACTCTGTGGTCACAGGGCCTCTCCTCTGCCCCCTGGTGAGACTGAATGAGCAAGCAGGAGCTCTCTGGTATCTTCTTCTAGGGCCTCATCCCTAGGCCTTACTTAACCTACTTCCTTAGAGGTCTAATCTCTATATACAGACAGACATATGAGGGCGAAGGGCTTCAGCATATGAATCCTGAGTAGACACAAATGTGTAGTCCTCAATAGAAGAAACTGGCCTCAGATTCATGGTTGGAGCCAGGTAGACAAGGGTCTTGGGGATGGGGGAAATCAATATTTTCATACTGATAAAGAGACTGAGCTACAAAGCTATGAGCTCCTGTCTGAGATAAAGCTAGAGCTTCCTAAACAGGAACTAATTCACCTTTCTATATCATTCCCAATACTTCCACAGAATGAGACTCCAGAACACCATCTGGCTTGACTGAAAAGTCAGAGGTAGGCAGCAGCAAAATCACAAAATTTAGATAAAGAGAAAATAAACACCAATCCTCTTGAAGATGCTCTTACAGGCATCTGCGATAAAGTTGTCATTTTTTTTTTCAAAATTCCTAGTTTTATTGATTTTAATTTAACATGGTGTCATTTTATACCTTTTATGCTTATTTATTTTCTAGAGTAAGTTACTCAGTAATATTTGTATTTATAAACTAACAATGAGGTAGGATCCTAATTTTTTTCATTTTTTAAATTAATTTTATTGGTACATTTTAGGTATACAATATAAAGATATTCATCATTGGAAATTTGCACCTTTACATAATCTCTCTTGGTTCTTATTTTTTCCCCACTCTCCTACCATCCCTTCAACCCCTCTGTCCCTCCCTATTTGCAAAGACTTTATTTCCATTTTCCAATTTTCTCATATTAATTCCATTCCCTTCTTTCTTTTCCCATACCCCTCCAACTTCCCCTTCTGTACCCTTTTCTTCCAAGTTCACATTATCCATTATACCTTTTAGTCCTTATTTACACTTTCAGTTTCTCACACTAGAGAAACTATTTGATATTTACATGTGTGTGTCCTATTTATTTCACTTAAGAGTATGGCCTCAATGTGCATCCATTTAGCTATAAATGTCTCTAATTTCTCATTTTTTATGGCTGAGTAGTACTTCATTTTATTTTAAAAAACCACATTTTCTTTATCCAGTCTCCAGTTGATGGGCAATTGGGCTGCTTCCCAGTTTTACCTATTAGAAATTGTGCTGCTATGAACATGGGTGCACATATATCATTGTGGTATGATTCTTTTATTTATTTGGGGAAGATATCCAGCAGGGGAATAGCTGGGTCAAATGAGACTATCAGTCCTAGTTCTTTGAGGTATCCCCATACTGATTTCCACAGTGGTTGCACCAGTCTACACTCCCACTAGAAGTGGAGCAGTGTTCCACTTACCCCACAGCCCCGCCAGCATTTGTTATTGGTTGATTTCATGATAGCAGCCATTCTTTCTGGAGTGAGGTGGAATCTCAGCATTGTGTTCATTTGCATCTCTTGAATGACCAGTGATGTTGAACATTTTTTCATGTGTTTATTTGCTCCTTTTACTTCTTTGTGTGAGAAATGTCTGTTCATTTCAGATGCCCATTTTAGGACTGAGTCTTTAAATTTGAGAGGTCTGATTTTTTTAAGTTCTTTATAGATTCTACATAGTAGACCTTTGTCTGAGGAACAGCAGGTGAAAATTTTTTCCCACATTGTGGGTTGTCTCTTCACCCTGTTGGTGGCTTCTCTTGCTGTGTAGAGAAGCTTTTTAGTGAGGAGAGATCCCACTTGTTGATTGTTTGTGCAGGTTCACAACCAACTGAGGTTTTGTTCATAAAATTTTTTCCTACATCAATGTCTTCAAGAGTTCTACCTATCCTCTGTTCCAGCCGGTTCACCATTCCTGTTTTAATATTTAGATCTTTAATCTATTTTGACTTTAGTTTAGTGCATGGTGAGAGATATAGGTAAAGTTTTAATCTTTGGCAAGTTGAAATGCAATTTTTCCAGCACGATTTATTAAAGAGGCTACCTTTCCTTCAGGTGAGGGTGTTTGGTTCCTTTGTCAAAGATGAGGTGGCTGAGTGTGTCTAGAGTTGTTTCTGCATCTTCTAATCTGTTCCACTGGTCCTCAGGTCTGTTTCTTTGTCAGTACCATGCTGTTTTTATCACAGTAGCTTTGCAGTATGGTTTCAAGATGGGGGTTGTAATACCCCCTGCCATGTCTCTGTTGCCTAGAATTGCTTTTGCTATTCTGGGTCTCTTCTTGTTCCAAGTGAATTTTTGGATTGTTTTCTCAAGGTCCATGAAGTATGCTACTGGTATTTCAATTGGGATTGCACTGAATCTATATAGCAGTTTTGAAAGTATGGCCATTTTCACTATGTTGATCCTTCCTACCCAGGAACAAGGATTCTCTTTCCATTTTCTTATATCGTCTTCAATCTCTCCTTTCAGAGTGGTATAGTTTTCAGAGAAGTGGTCTTTGATTTCTTTTGCTAGGTTGGTTCCTAGGTATTTCAGTTTTTTGGGTGCTATTGTGAAAGGAATTATTTGCCCTATTTCTCTCTCAGTGAGTCTTGTTCGTGGACAGGAAAGCTATTGACTTTTGTGTGTTGACCTTGTATGCAGCCACTTTACTGAATTTGGTTATTAAGTCTAGAAGACTTTTGGTGGAGTTCTTGGGGTCTTCTATATAGAATATCATGTCATCTGCAAATAATGACAATTTGACTTTTTTGTTTT